ACACACACACATACATACACACATACATATTTGCCCAAATTGGTGGATTTTTTGCACATAGTAGAATTTTTCCTTGCTGGGCGATTGATCTGCTGTTCTCTCCCCCCCCTCCGTGGGTTGCAGAGCCAAAGGAAGTTTAGATTTCATTTCCAAAGCCTGGACATTAAATCTAAATACTTCTCTTCTGGCTGACATTAAAACATCCAGCTTTCGCTGCTCTTCGCAATTAATACGGCCGCAACTTCCTGCAAAACGGGGAAGACAATGTTGAGTTGGACCATGTGGGGGGTGGGGGGTGGGAGGTTGCCAGGTGTTTTTTTCCTCCCCTCCTCTAATGCCAAGAGGCCTGCAGATGTGGCTGATGACTTGGGGCTGGTCAGAGGGAGGCGAAGGAAGCAATTTCTAAGAATTCTTTTTTTTTAAATAAACGGAGCTTCCTGCATTTGTACTGGTGGCAAACAGCAAAAAAAGGAGAGTTTCTAAGCGGTTCTTGCGACACCAAAAAAACCCGGCCAGCTCTTCCGATGCTGGATGGTAAAGGGACCCCACCCTATGCAACAGTTAGAGAGCCTCCGGCTCCAGGAGCAGTCTACCTTCGTGGGCGCAGCCAAAGGGAAGAGGCAGGGATTTTTGGTGAGGTCCCTTAAGTCGCTTCAGCTTGAACCTCCCATCCGACGCCCGTCTCCTTCCATCCGTTTCATGGATTCTGGGGCCACCCCCCCCCCAAAAAAACCTCTGGGAAATGATACGTTTCTTGGAAGGGAAGCCACCCACCCACCAAATAACCCTCTTTTTAAAAAAATCCCTCGAAAAGGGTCTTTAATTGTGCACCCAATTTCTAAAAAAAACAAAACGAGAGAGAGAGAGAGAACTTTTGGCTGAGTTTAAAAACAAAGAGGAGGAAATTGGGGGTCCTTTCCTTTCTCCCTCAAGGGCGGAGAAATCTGGGCATCCTCTGAAGCAGCAAATCTAGCCTGGCACTGCCACCTGGCGGCCCCGTGTCAGTCACACACTTCCCTGGCACCACCCCATGGAAGAGCCTGGGAGGGACTATGGGGTTCTTACAGCCGTCCGGGATCATCCAGGAAGGACGCAAATTCAGAGGAACACAGGGCCCCCCTTTTCTCACGACCCGCCTTGGGTCGAAGAGGCACCAACCTGGGCTGATTATAAAAAAAAAACCACCAAACCAGGATGACTAAACCAGGTTTGTTTACTGCTAAATGGCTCGGATCTTTTTGAGACAGCCAAGCACAATGTATTTTTTCTCTCTCTGCAAAATGCCAGACCAGGAACCTTCCTCGTTCAAGCGTTGGGTGTTTTGGTGACCCACAGTCAAGTCCCACCTACCCCTGCTGGATTAGAGGCCAAATCCCACCAAACTTTATCCTTTTTGGGGGCAGAGTGGGGGGGAGTAAAGGAGGGGCAGAGTCCCAACCGCCTCTCTTGATCTGCTCTGAATTCAGCCCCCCTCTTGTGCCCAAGACGGCCACATCAAGGCTTTGGAAATTGTGCTGTGTGTAGGGTTAGCCACAATTGTGGCTTGTTAATCCGGAGTTAAGGTTTGGCCATCGTTGGCTGCTTCCTGGGGGAGGCTCAGAACACGGCCCGGCCGCTGCTACTCTTCGCTGGCCTGGGATGGGAAGCTGAGCATCCAACGTTTCCGGCATCCTCCCTCTCGTCTGGTCCAGAGTTTGCTCGTCACCTCCATAGCAACCGGTTGCCCCTGGCAACAGCTATCAAGCATCTTGGGTGCTTTTGGGTGCCGGGGAGGACGTGTGGGCACTGGAGGAAGCTGCCTCCACCCCTGGCAAAGAGGGGGACCCCCTGCCCTCCCCAGGACCCCCTCCCCGGCCCCAGCCCCCAGCTGGGACGGATTCTTCTGCTCCCTGCCTTCGTATGCCGCTGTCCATCAGTGAGGAAGATGCGGGAAGCCTCCGCCGGCATCGGCTCCTGTGCTGATCCCACCCAGCCTTGACTCCCCGGAACGGCTGGGCGAAGAAGGGGGGACGCCTACCTGGCTGGCAGCAATGCGTTGCTAAAGATTGGCTCCGCTTTCCTCCAGGTGAGAACTCACCTTTTCATTCCAGGGTGCTGAAACGGAGCAGCTGGCCCCCTCGAAGGGTTGGATTGGAGCAGTTTGATGGGAAGGGTCCCATGTTGGCGACAGCTGTGGGGTTCCCCCCCCCTTTCCGGTGCCCCACCTGCCACCTCCCTTCTCCCAGCGTTAAAAAAAATGCCCTCTGCTTGCAGTTCAGGGTTCGCTTCGTAACTCCTTTCTGCAAAAGGAGCTTTTTAAATTTCAGAGCGGGGTCGAGCGAGCTTTAAAATAAAGAAAAGTCTTTTCCCCTGGCGAGAGGGCAGGGCGAGAAAGCAACCTCGGGCCCCTCCCCAAATTCTCACCCTCCTCCTTGGGCTAGGAGGGGTCGAAGCACCCCCAAAAAAAGGGGGCATAGCCCCCACCTGTCATTCATCAGAGTGTTGCAATGAAAAGGTGTTTTTTTTTTAAGAAAGGCCTCCGGGCCAAAACCCCTCCCTGCATCGATTTGTTAAATTTATTTCTTAAATTTATTTCCCCCCTATTTTTTGGGCTCTTCAGCTGCTGTGGAGACCACCCACCACTAACGGGGTCTTTGTCCCCCCTCCCCTTTTCAGGTGGTGCTGCGGACACAGCCGGCCAGCCGCTCTCTCGCCAGAGTGGAGGTGCCAGTCCTCATGGCCACCAGCTTGGGCAGTTCCCTGCCTGCCCTGGCCAGCGCCCTCCGGCCGGACCCCACCGTCTCCCTGGAACAGAAAGCGACTTTCCTCTTCCTCTTCTTCCTCTTCGTCTTCCTGGCGGTGCTGGTCGTCCGTTGTTTCCGGATCCTCCTGGACCCCTACCGCAGCATGCCCCCCTCCACCTGGACCGAGTACGTGGAGAAGGACACCCTGGACTACCGCCTGGCCTGACNGTGTGAATGCGATCACTACGCCTTTATATTTCAGCCGATCGTCCTGCGAACACTGCTGTGGGTTTTTATATCTATTCCTCTTGTTTTCAGGAAATTTAAACTGATAAAAATGATTTCAGTTGCTGGGTTTGGTCCTTTAAAGGCGCAGATGGCCATCAACAGATCGCTGTGAGCGGTTCGGAGGGAAGAAACGAGGAAGAAGAAAAATATTCTTCTTTTTCTCCCCTCTAAAAAAATATCGATATAAGCAAATTAGTGGTGAAGGAATGGCGTTTGTGTTCATCCGGCAGATATTCCCCCGGGGAGGGTGACGTCAGCGAGTTTAATTTTCCAGCGGGGCATAATGAAAATAAAGAGGTGTTTTTTGTTTTTTTTACCCCTCATGAAACAGGATTATATTATTCTGGGCCATTACGAGCGTGGCATAAACGAGGGCTCTGTTGACCTGTTTGGCTGCCTTTAATTGAATCTCCTTATTATGTAATTGTACCATTTACACTGTTTAAAAGAAGCGGGCTCATTAAACTCGGCTGGGCTTTTTAAAAGGAGGTGGAAATTAAAAAAACCCCACAACCTCTGGAAGGTATTTTTAATCAACAGCAGAGTTTTTAACACTCTTCCACTTTCCCTGGAAACGCCCAGACTGTTTTTATACTCCTGGGGGGCGAATTTCTCCCTGGTTTGGGGCACAAAGAGGCTCTTGATAGCCCCGGGGGGTCTCCGTTCCCCTTCGTGAGCGACCCAGCTTTTAGGCTGAGCCCCCTTCTTCATTGCACTGGATGTATAAACACGCTGGTCCTTTTACACCTCCGGAGGTACCCAGGAATCTCGGTGGTGCCCAGGGCAAGCTGGATCTCTCTAGGGGGTTGAAGCCAAGCCAACATATTGGATGAGCCTCATTCGAAATCCAAGAAAGAAAACCCCCAACTCCAATTCATTAGAGAAAAGGGACTTTTACAGGAGGTGGAATGAAAACAGCGAGATCTGAAGCCAAAAAGCACAAACTTCTACATATCAAACGTTTACCCAAAAGCCTCCCTCCCCCCAGTTACCCCAACCCAATGTCCATCTCCAGCTCCCAAAGGCGTCATGTGGGGAGGGGGCATCTACAGGTGGCCTCATTCAGTTGCTGTGCATTCAGACATTTGGCCTTGACCAAACCCACCAGGCATGCGCAGGAGATGGTGAGGAGAGAACTCCCTTGGTGATATCTCCACCAGAAACTGGTTCCCCATCCCAAATTCCATGAGCCCCCCACCCTCCCCGTTACTATGGCAGCCGATAGCAAGGATGCAAAGTTTGCTTGCTCTCTTGGGGGTGAAGCCCAATTGCTCTCGTGGCCCCTCGAGAAAGTTTTGGGGCGCAGCAATGGCCTGGGTGGTGGTGGGAAAACTGGTGGGTCTCTCTCCTCCTTGCACCATCCCTGTTTCTTCTGCCGGATCTCAGTTGCTTCCCCACCCAGCCTTGCTCTGCTCCTACTAACCCTTCCACCTCATTTGCCATCCCGGGTCCTCCGTTCGGTCCGCGTGGGCTCCCTGCGGGCACTGAAAAACAGCAGCTGCACCCCAGGAATGTCGGGGGTGGGTGGGACGTCCCTGCATGATTTGGGAAGTTCTGGGGATCTCGGCTCAACCGGAGCGGAGACCCGGCGGGGGGACTCGGCCGTTTGGGGTTTGTAGGGAGCTAGCGTCCCCTCCTGACCGTCTCTTCCTCTCTCCCCGCTGGCCGCGGGTTTAGGCGTGAGGCAAGAGCCGGAGGCGACGGACGGTGCCAAGTCGGTCCACTTCACCTTCCTCATCGGCTGCGTCTTCGTGGCCTTCCTCCTGGGTGCCTTCCTCTCCGGCCTGCTGGTCTCCTGCTACTGCAGCCACAGCCTGCAACGCGCCAAGCACCCGGGAAAGGACCCCGAGAACGGCATCCAGCGCCCACTCTCCCTCCGCAGCCTGGCCAAGATGAACACCTTGCTGGAAGGCGGCCAGGCCAAGGACGGGATGATGGAGACGGCGGCCCCACAGCTCTACACCACCCTGCTCCCCAGCGAGAAGGAGCTGCCCAGTGCCCCGGCCAAGCCCGGCGTCCGAGAACACCCCGAGCTCTCCGCCCTGCCCACGCCAGAATCCACGCCGGAACTCCCCGTCAAGAACATGAAGGCCATCCGGAACCAGTGGGAGAAAAACCAGAACTTCAACAACGCTAAGGACGCCCAGGGGAAGGCGCTGCCCTTCCACGCCCCGGTGCCCAACACGTTCTCCTTCTCTGGCCCGGGAGGGGTCCCCGGGCACCTGCACGGCTACGACGCCCCCTTGGGGGGCTACGTGGACGAGAAGAAGATCTCCAACTCGGAGCGGGTGCTGGTGCGGCCCTCCCCGCTGCCCAAAGGCATGGAGGTCACCACCTTGGAAGAGCTGCTCAAACATCTCCACGGGGCCGGGGCCTCCGTGCCCCCCGCCTTCCCGCCTTCGTCCGTGGCTTTTGCCAACCGGGTGCAGCCGAAGGTGCCCAACCTGGATGGCGCCCCATATTACAACACCTCCACGCTGCCTCGGCGGCTGGACATTCCTCCGGACGCTCCCTTGCCGTTGGGCCTGGACAAAGCGGGCCGCTCTGTTGCCCACAGACATTCCCTCTGCGGCGCCCCGAAGCTGGTGAACGTGGGCGGTGGGGGGCTGCTGATGCGGCAGCACAGCCTGGGCCAGGCGGGGAGGCTGCCCCCGGCCCTCCTGACCCGCATGCACTCCACGGGCAGCTCCGTGCCCCACGAGGGCCACCACGCCATCTTCCTGGCCAGGCAACACAGCTACGGCGACCAGGGGCCGCTGCCCAGCCACGCGGGGGGCATCCGGCGGTCGGTCTCGCTGATCAAGCCGGGCATGGCCCCCCAGTCCCTCTTCCAGCCTTCCTCTCCACCCGCCCAGCCCTCCGGCCCCTTCAACTATTGAGCCCCCTGCGGAAGGAGGGGCGTGACTTGAACCCAGTGCCGGGCCCCTCTGCGAAGGTCCCTTTGGCCACGTCCACCCCAGGGATTTCAAATCCGAGTGCCTTGTGAAAGGGAAGGTCCCACGCAGGTGGCACAGGTGGGGCTTGGCAGGAGGGGCACCTGCTTCCCTTCTCTCTCCCTGCCAGATGCTTCCAGAAGATTCTTTGGCCTCCGGGCCCCCCCCCACGCCCCCGAGGGGCCCCCAAAGTAGCAAAGCTGGCCGTTCTTCCCTACCTCACGGGTGAGGCCTCGAAGGCGGCCGCCTCGGCATAGCCCACCCTCACCCATTCCTTATGCAAGAAATCTCCACCGAGGATGCCCGCCTCCCGCTCGCTCGCGCTCTGCCAACGGGCACCGAATGTTGCTTCCAAAGGCTGTGAAATCCTCCGGGGGAGCAGAGACCCATTCGAGCAACCGGCTGGGGGCAGGGGGCTCCCCGGGGGGCCCTCCCTCCCTCCTCTCCGCCAGGGCCAACCTGCAAATGGTCACCGTTTTCGATCCCGCCACGTGGGCCGAAGGACTCCGAACTCAACGTTGGCGATTTTGCAAAAACCTGCATTTTCAAAGGGGTGGATTTCACGCCGTGCTGCCAAAAGGGGAGGGGGTCCCTGGGCACAGTTTTGGGGTGGGCTTTTTCAACCAGGGCGGGGGGTGGGGTGTCTCTGGGAGCAGTGGGCGTTTCAGGAGACCAAACAGGCTCTCCATATCCAGAATGCGATGCTCAGAGGACTCGGGAATGATCTGAACTCGGGGCAGGCTGCGACCACTGGGGTGAGAGAACCGTGGGGAAGGGGGTGGCAAAGGTGGGCCTCGCCCCCCCCCTCCCCCAGCCCGTCTTCGTAGCACTTTTGGTATTTGTGCGTGTGTGTTTTTCCTCCCAAAAGGGCAGATTCCTGTGGCTCCCATTGCCTGTGAGAAATGACCCTTGGCTGGACTTGAACTCACGGCCGTTCCCTCCAGCGAGGGAAAAACTTCGGGGTCCTGGCTAGGCCGCCCCCCAATCAGCCCCTCGTGGCTGGCATTCTTCCACGGACCCAATTTCGACCTCTCTCTTTTTCTAAGGACCCTCCCCTTCCCTTTTGGGGAGGGTGGAGAGACTCCAATGAAGGCCAAATTATGGGAGGGGGATCCCCAAATTTTCTTCTCAAGTTACACTCCCCCCCCCCCATCCACCAGATCCCGTCCGGTGGATTTTTCGCATGGCCCAGCTTGGTTCATCCTGTTCACCTACGCCTCGATTCTTGTTCCGGCTGAGCTTGGAAGCGCCAGCTTGTCTAGCCCAGCCCGCGCAAGGAGCTAGTCAACAAAGAGGTTTGTAAACGCGTTTCCGAGCTGGGTGTCCCCATGAACAGTGGAAATAATGTACAGATGTTTTCCCCAGGTGCTCCAGAATCGGAGAGAGAGGCTCTTCCATAACGGTGGCTTGCAAAACAAGAGGAAAATTAGAAAGCCGGGGAGGGGGGGGGGGATTATTTTGATGTTGTACTTGCAATCTGCCCCTCTCCGAAATGGGGGGGAGGGAGGCGTGGGCGACCCAAGAGGAGGAGGGGAGAACCTGTAAACTGACCCATTTTTTTTAATTTCATTTTTTATTTTTGCTAAGTGCCATCCGGAGAAACTCACCGAGGGCTGCAAATTCGTTTTCTGGTTTTGTTTTTTTAAAAAATCACAATATTTGGGGNAAATAATAATATGCATGGACCAAATAATAATAATAATAATATACATGGACCAAATAATAATAATATGCATGGGTCAAATAATAATAATATGCACGGACCAAATAATAATAATAATATGCATGGGCCAAATAATAATAATATGCATGGGCCAAATCTTTGCAGGACGTATTTGGGCACAGAGCCGCTAGTTGCTAACCCCAGTGGCTGATTAGTCCCTCGCACAGAGAAAGGGGGATATTTTTATTTTGCATTTTATTTTTACAATCCCTTCTCCTAGTCCTCTTGTGGACCCTGGCAGATCTGGGGGGACCTGAGGGAGGGGGAGTGGAGAGATAACGTATTTTAGCAAACACACTCATGTACCAAGGGGAACAGTCCACTTTGGGTTTATGACAAAGGATTCGGAAACATCAGCCCGTGAGAAGCGCAGACACAGCACAGAGAAATTTGGGGGCGGAGGGGAAAAAACCGCCCGCCAGAAAAGATGCAATTGGGGTGGGGGGAGAGACGTAATTTTTAAAAAAGGGTGGCTTCCTCCAGGGCTTCAGATGAGGTCGAAATCTACGGGGCTGATGCGGGCGATGGGGGGTCTCCAGAAGTTGAAGCTGCTGAAGGGGAGCAGGGCGGTCTCTGTTTCTTCCGGGACCCCCGGGCTGGGCTTCTGGGCCGGCTTCTGCTCGGAGAGGAGGCTCCCGTAGCCCCGTTTGGGCTTGAAGAGGGCGAGGTCGGCCATTCCCAGGCACTCCAGTTCTGAGAGGTCCAGTTCAGGGATGGGCATCCTCCAGTACAGGAAGGAATCATACTGGGAGCTGACGGTGTCCCTCATTTCTTCCTGGAGGGGGTGGGTGGGTGGGGGGAGAAGAGCAGCAGGAAAGAGGCAACAAGATGATGATGATGCTTTTAAAAAAAACAGTTTTGAGATTTTAAGGGTAACACAGGCAGTCCTCGAATTACGACCATAGATGACCGCGGTGAATGTCTGCGGTTCTTAAGTGAGTCACAGGGTTGTTAAGGGAATCCTCCCCCCCACCACCCATTGATTTTGCTTGTCAGAAGGCAGCAAAAGGGGAATGTGTGTCCCCCCAGGACTCTGAAACCGTTATAATTATGAGTCCTTTTCCAGGCGGCTGAATTTTGATCACCCGGCCATGGGGACGACGTGGCAACAGTCGTAAGTGTGGGAAATGGTCATAAATAGTTTGCACAGCCACTAAATGAACTGTGGTAAGTCAAGGGGTAGTTTGTATAAATTTCTGAATTGTGTGCTGCTCATCTTTTCCATCCACCCACCCTCCTTCCTTCTTCCATCCTTCCTTTCTTCCTCCTTCCTTCCTTCTTTCCTTCCTTACTCTTTTCCTTCCTTCCTCCCCCTTCTTTCCTTCCTTCCTCCCCCCTTCTTTCCTTCCTCCTTTCCTTCCTTCTTTCCTTCCTTTCTCCTTTCTTCCTTCTTTCCTTCCTTCCTCCTTTCCTTCCTTCCTTCCTCCCTCCCTTCTTTCCTTCCTTCCTCCTTTCCTTCCTTCCTCCCTCCCTTCTTTCCTTCCTTCCTCCTTTCCTTCCTTCCTCCCTCCTTCCTCCTTTCCTTCCTTCCTCCTTCCCTTCCTTCCTCCTTTCCTTCCTTCCTCCTTTCCTTCCTCCCTCATTCCTTTCTTCTTTCCTTCCTTTCTCCTTTCTTCCTTCTTTCCTTCCTTCCTCCTTTCCTTCCTTCCTTCCTCCCTCCCTTCTTTCCTTCCTTCCTCCTTTCCTTCCTTCCTCCCTCCCTTCTTTCCTTCCTTCCTCCTTCCCTCCCT